AGCTTCCCCGCCTCCCTCACTCCTATCTTTTTTCCAATTGCCAAACTTTATGAAGTTACCAGAAGGGTTAAAGAACAAACCTTCAAAGAAATCCAAGGGTGGAGGAAGTAGTGCTATGGGTGATGGTGGATCTATGGGTGATGAAGGTAAATCCGGAGGTGAAGGTAAATCTAAAGGTCGAGGTAAATCTAAAGGTGGAGGAAAACGTGGAGGTAAATGTAAATGTGGAGGTAAATCCAAGGGTGAAGGTAAATCCAGAGGTGAAGGTAAATCTAGGGGTGAAATTTCCAGGGGTGAAGGTAAATCCATGGGTGAAAGTTTCACGGGTGAAGGCAAATCCAGAGGTGGAGGTTCCATGGATGGTGAAGGTAAATCCAGAGGTGGAGGTAAATCCAAATTTAAAGAAAATATAAGAACTAAATTTGGAGAGATAAAAGGTAGATTCGGACGTCATGGAGGTTCACCCGGAGGTGGAAGCTCACCCGGAGGTGGAAGCTCACACGGCGGTGGAAGCTCACCCGGAGGTGGAAGCTCACCCGGAGGTGGAAGCTCACCCGGCGGTGGAAGCTCACCCGGAGGTGGAAGCTCACCCCAAGGTGGAAGCTCACCGGAAGGTGGAAGTTCACCCAGAGGTATTGGACGTATGGGTATGGGTACGGGTGGTCGTAAACCAATGTGTCTGGGTGGAGGTTCACACATGGAGTAAAGGACATCAATCCAGATGTTCCAACATTAAGCATATATTGTGCATTTTAATTCAAGATGAATTCTATGACCGGGAAACTATAAGGGGAAAAAACAGCCTTTTTAAAACGTTTTATGCAGCTATGTAACATTGAATATGCTTATTATGATTAAAAAGAAAAGACTATGATACAATGTTTATTAAGCAAATAATAGTATAATGTGGTAACACTTAATCCGATTCGTTTTAGATGATTTAACGAACTGTAGTAGATGAGTAAAGGACTCTAAAATATCTGATTTTGTATCACGTCTTGAAATATCTGAACCTACGACCTATATCATATATAATATACTGCTATGCAAAATCATATGCTCAATATAATCACGATTATATCTGCATTGCATTAGAGTCAAATTAATTTTTGGATATAGAAGACGGGAGGAGAATCTATCTTATTTAGTTAACCTTATTCAAATGACCTGAATAAGTTTACTTATTCAAAGGAAAAAAACTTACAACAAGTTATTCTCGTCGAAGTGCTTGACAAAGTTAATTAGTTGGTTGATCAGTAATATATCTTAGGAAGCCTCTAGTTCAAATGTTACCGCCATGGTGAGAATGACAATCCCCATGCTTCGAACCTGTCTCTGTTCACATGTCCCTATCATCAAAATATTCAAAAGCCTTTGATTTATTCGCGTGGTTGACTTGGTAAACTTCAATAACATTTTACGCGTCTCAAAACTGACTCTTTCTCCATACTATGGAAAAAGATGTGCATTGGTTCTTCGTTGTCTGATTTTCAAGTCGGGTTCCCGAGCCCTCTTGTTAGTGTGTTGGGTGTCTTGGAACATATTACTCACCAGTCACCACCTCTTCTTTCAATGTTTACATCCATCTGGCCAGAAAATGTATGCGTTATTTGTTATTTGTTTTTTGTTGTAAACAAGTGATAATCATATGACCGAAGCCCGACTAATGTTGTAAGTGTAGTCATCGAATAGTCCATTTTCACCGAATTTTCTAATGGTGTAACATTTCGACTAGCCAACAAAAGTGAAACGGTTCTAATAGGAATAGAATCCAAAGCGAGAGGGAGTTAATGCCTCCCAATCTTTACCACAATGCCGTTTAATGTGTTGTGTTTTTGACGCATTCTAACCTATGTTTTCTGAGTTTTATCAAATATTTTCTTTGTTTTTAGAATCTTTTCAGATTAAAACACGTTTGGATGAAATTTAATGCAAATGAGCAAGGAATGGAAGCAAAGATGCAGAAAATGATCAGAATTTTGGCACTATTTGAAGCTCTTTCCACCGATGGATCGAACTGAAAATTGGAGACAAGCTAGAGCATCGAGTTAGCTTTCATCTGTAAGAAATTTGAGTCCATTCCAACGGTGTGATCGAAAGTTATAAAAATTTTAGTGAATACATGTCTTTCTGGCGAGCAAAAAAAGCAAGTGTAGAGCATAACACCAGATCAATCGATCTGATTTTATTAAAATCGTTGGAAGACCTGCGGATCGACCAAAATTGGATTTT